TTTTGTGAATGTCGATGACATTTAATGTTAACTATCTTTTAATCAAAACATAAAACATTATTTACCCCGTTTGTATCTGCGAGGCGTCCGTTACACATTTTCCCTGTGTGTTAACGTCAGTAATTATGACTGTCGAATGTCTCTCTTGGTAATGTATTTTGCCTCGCCCCCAAACATATGATTCGACTATCAGTCGACTATCAGCAAGATTCGAAAATTCAGATTCGACTATGAAAATCCTTAGTCGGGGACACCCCTAATAAAACGTCCTGTAAAATGTATTTCCTATCTACCTTAAACATCATTGTGTCATACTGACCTTGGTGTTTGTGCGATTGTTCTGCAGACAGTCTTGCAGAACATCCTCGTACTTCTTTATCAGACCGTCTCGACTCTGATCTGAGGACGGGGTGGTGCTGTCGTAGCCGGACGTGACCGAGGAGGCCGAGGTCGAATCTGTCGAGTCAATCGAGAACGAAGACGTGACTTCAGTGTCCAGAGAGCCAGAGTCAGAGTCCTGGATGCTTTCTTTCGCATAAGACGTCATGGAGGACAAAATCTGTACATCCAGGTCTGCTAGCCACAGCTCTCGGTCCATTAAAATACTTTTTGGCTGACCAATGGAGCAAGGTGAATTGCTTAATGAGAAAACCTCATGTTCTGATTGGCTAATCGGAACAGTGCTGATCTCTGATTGGCTCAAGTGATTTACTACTAAAGCAGTGTGAGGTTCTAAAGCACCAGAGTGTGACGTTTCAGACTTCAGTCGGTCCCCTTCAGATTGTGTGCTGGCGGATGTGTTTGTGCTCACATCTAATAGATCGCTAGTTTCTAGCGACTGCTGAATGAAACTGAAGCTGGAATTGAAAACGTTGCGCGACGGCATTGGGGAATTTTCCTTGGCGTCACACAAACGGTGAGTTTCGGAAGAATCCTGGCCGTCGTCTCTCTTGAAAACCTCCTTAAGCCATCGCTCACTGGGGCTGCTGGGTAATTTCGAAGCGCTCTTTTGAGTGTTCTCATTAGTAGACGAGCCACATGGCTCTGAGCACATGTATCCCGGGCGTCTGAAGCTCCCCCAGCGATAGCTTCCCGCTGCCGCCGTCGGACTCACAGCACCTGTTGAGAACAGATTACCGATTAAATGTCTTAAGTCGTGATGATAAACCGTGAAATGTGCTTTATAACTGGACATCCAACATGTAAACTCTCACAATGGCATATCTGTAAACAAATAATGAGCCATGACAGCTGCCATCATGTGTTTTAGCTGTGAAATTTCCCTGTGATCAGTGTCAAATGCAATACAGCTGTTGAGAAATAAAAACTGATGGGCACTTTAGGAAATGCACAGTAAAAACAACTATAAGAGTTTAATAACAGTGTAAAGATACAATTTAAATATGAAAAATTGACATTTTAGTAACATGGTCATCATTACATAATGTACTTTTGTACATTTTCTTTTACATTTAAAAATGTACATTTCTGTACATTTTACACTTAAAACAAATTTTTTCCATTTAAAATTTTTCATTTTGTACATTTTGCACTTAAAACAATTTTTACATTTAAATATATATTTTTGTACATTTGTACACTTAATTTTTTTTTTTTTTTTTGTAAAAAATTTTATATTTGAAATTAATTTACTTAATTTACTTCAATGCATTTTTTTTTGGGCTGACTGAAATTTTTGCAAACAATGCTCAGATTTGTTTACATATATATATATATATATACACACACACACACACATATACACACACGCTGTGTGTACATTAATGAGGAAAAAAAATTAACTTAAATGATTTTAGCAAATGGCTGCAATATAACAAAGAGTGAAAAATTTAAGGGGGTCTGAATACTTTCCGTACCCACTGTATATATGCACATATACATATACATACACACAAACAAATATAGAGACAGAGAGATTATATATTTAATCTATATAAAAGCAATATGAACCAGTATCATTTAGCATAATTATATATAGTTAGTAAATATAGTTTATTAATACTTTGAATTAGTTTTTATATTTTTATTTATTTTTTATATATTCCATTTTCATTTTCATTTTAGTTAAAGTTTTAGTAATTTTGTTGTGTTTTTGTCATTTTTATTAGTTTTTGTTTTTCATATATCTATATAGTTTTTATTTCAGTTTTAGTTATTTTAGTATGTCAAGTTAAATTAAATGAAAATGACAAACGCTTCACTTTAAAATTCATATTAAATACAAATATTACATATATTAAAATTAAATAAACATTCATTAAATAAATATTGTTTGCAGGAAACAATAACAAGATTGAGTAATTTGATACTTTGAGACCAACCTTTGCAAACTATGAAAGCAACATCTGAGCAATAAAACTTTCTGTAAGTTTTGACTGTAAGATGAGCCAAAATGAGTTGAGTTCAAATGCATAAACGACAACCCATCACAATATTATGAACCCCAAAACAACAGAAACAAAACACGTCTGAAACCAAAACCTCCACATCCCTGTATAGTCCACAAAACACATTGGTCTGTTGTTCTGAGGGAAAGGGAGGGATCAGTGGAAAAACTCTCAAACGGTCTCTTTGTCTGCAGCTGTGATTGGCTCTTTAAACGCGTTTCCCACAATCCCTCACTGCAGCGAATGCAGAGTGAGAACAGCTGCAGTTCAATGTCTCTCTCGCAGATCTTTCAAACATAAACACACAAACTCACTCACATGAGAGGAATAACAGAAAGTCCATTCACACGACTGCGAGACCCGAGAGAACAGACTAGACCATCACTGAGCCAAAACCTGACATTTATATCACTGATTTCTATATAGTGTGAAATGGTGTGCAAATAGTTTCCCCTCAAAATAGGTCTTAAATATGTAAGACAAGAAAAATGATGCCAAAGAATCTCTTTTTATCTTCTGGCATTGCAATCTTTCACCATAATTTACACAGAGCTAATGAAGAGCAGATGAAGTCACTGCTGAAGAATGTTTTCTAGAGAGAGGAAGAGCTGCTTGAGTGAGAGACACATCCTCTGAAGACTTGAACAAAAAGAGGCTATTGAGCGGTCGACTAGAGCAGGGATTCCCAAACCTTTGCTACCCGACCCCTTTTACATAAAATTGCAAATTGAAGTTAATATTTCAATAATTTCATTTAACAACACACTTGCATGCTTACAGATCTCTGATGATAATATAGTCACATGACTTTTTTTTTGCAAGTCATATTTAGTCACTTCTATTTATGTTTCAGATTGTCGTTTCAAAGACAATAACATTGTTTAAGCTGTACATTTTATTAATTATGAAAAATTCAATTTCTGCTATAAAGCAGCTCTACAGAAAACAATAGTGTTGGTGTCAATGTTGATTCAATTCAGTTCAATTTTGATTCAATTCAGTTCAATAACATTGTAGATACAAAGTTAATTATTCAGCACAATTCAGTTCAAATTTTGTTCTCATCCGATCATGTCAGTCCAGTTAAATAGATATTACTAAATATTAATTGTCCTTTAAACCATTAAGTATGCATGGTTTTGATGTTTTAGTTAGCGTTTTATTTAGACTTTGTATTTAATTTTAATTTTATATTGTTATGAGTTAATTATTAGCTTCTTTAAGTCACATTTCAAGTCACTTTTGTTTATTCTTTTGTTTATAAGTCACTTTATACAGAATAATATAGATTGCTTCAAAACAGCTTCACATTATTGAAAAGGAAAATATCAGTGTTAATGTTGCAAAATTAATTAATTATGAAGCCAATTTAATTTTAGCTATAAAGTGTCATTTTCAGCTCAATTCAGTTCAACGTTGATTCAATTCAGCAACACCGTAAAAGTTTAGTGTCATTATTCAGCTCAATTCAGTTAAAATTTTGTTTTCATCCCATAGTGTTAGTGCAGTTAAATCGGTAATTATTACTGAATAATGATTTCTTTTAAAACATTTTTTTTTTTTTAGAAAGTGTTTGTTTTTTAGTAAGTTTTTAATTAGTCACCTCAGTGTCATTTTCAGCTCAATTCAGTTCAACGTTGATTCAATTCAGCAACACTGTAAAAGTTTAGTGTCATTATTCAGCTCAATTCAGTTAAAATTTTGTTTTCATCCCATAGTGTTAGTGCAGTTAAATCGGTAATTATTACTGAATAATGATTTCTTTTAAAACATTTTTTTTTTTTTAGAAAGTGTTTGTTTTTTAGTAAGTTTTTAATTAGTGTTTTGATTGTTTTTATTAAAAAAATATTTCTTATATTTTTATGATTTCATTACCTTAATTCATTTATTTAGGCTATATCTTGCTTTATACTATACAGATTGTTTTTATTTTTATGATTTAATTCTTCTTCAAGTCACATGTCAAGTCACTTTTATTTCTATAACACTTTATACAATACAGAGTTTATATTTTTATGATTTAATTCTTCTTCAAGTCACATGTCAAGTCACTTTTATTTCTATAACACTTTATACAATACAGAGTTTATATTTTTATGATTTAATTCTTCTATTTTTTCTTTAACTCACATCACATGTCTCTTTTATTTCTATCACTCTATATAAAATAGAGTTTATATTTTTATGATTTAATTCTTCTTTAAGTCACATGTCAAGTCACTTTTATTTCTATAACACTTTATACAATACAGAGTTTATATTTTTATGATTTAATTCTTCAAGTCACATGTCAAGTCACTTATTTCTATAACACTATACAATATGGAGTTTTTTATTTTTATGATTTAATTCTTCTTCAAGTCACATGTCAAGTCACTTTTATTTCTATAACACTCTATACAATACAGAGTTTACATTTTTATGATTTAATTCTTTAAGTCACGTCAAGTCACTTATTTCTATAACACTTTATACAATGCAGTTTATATTTTTATGATTTAATTCTTCTTTAAGTCACATGTCAAGTCACTTATTTCTATAACACTTTATACAATACTGATTGCTTATATTTTATAATTTAAGTAATTATTAGCTTTTCATTCACCATCTTTAAGTATATATTCCAAGTCACTTTTATTTATATGGCACTTTATACAATAAAGTTTGTTTATTTTTATTTAATTAGTTATTAACTTTTCATCCACCGTAAGTCACATTTCAAGTCACTTTTATTTATATTGCTAAATTAATTATTAATACTATAACACTTTATACAATACAGATTGTTTATATTTTTATGATTTTAAGTTCACATTTCAAGTCACTTTTATTTATATGATTAAATTGTTCATTAGCTTTTCATCAACTCAAACCCCTTGCATTTCCCCAGTTTGGAAAACCCTGTACTTTACCTAAAATGACTGTTTACTACGACCTACACAAAACAACTTTTGGTTATTTTTTTCCTTCTGTGGAACATTATAAGGAAGATATTTTGAATAATACACAGAAAACAGTAGCATGACTGAAAACATACAGTGTAGATCATCTTTGCATGAGCATACAAACCCCAGCCCATACAAACTGTGAACACCTGCACTTCCGTCACAACCACAACTGAGACACACCATCATCCTCCATCTGTCACAGACAACGTCTAGTTCAGCTTTAGTTCACTCAGTCTTCAATAGATGACTAGTAGACACCACACCATTGAGCACACTAAAGGACTGCTTCCCCTCAAAAGGGAAGGAAACGCTCACAAGTCTCTGTAAAGACACATGCTTGTCACGATTCCCTAAAAGAACAGATGAAACCCCCTTAAAAAAAAAAAACCATCAAACACAGAAAAAAACAGAAGTACAGGAAATATCTGAGTGGTTTGTTTTATAAAAGTGTCTACGCAAAAACAACTAATATATGAGGGGTAACCATGCAAAAGTCAAAGGGCATTACGTATGAGGTTGCTAAGGTAACCTAAATGGTTGCTAGGTGGTTGTTAGGTGATTTCTTACAGTCTCAAGTGAAAAGAATCTACATTCTGGTCAATTTCAGTCGAGTTACATTTATTTCTAGTGCTTTATACACATTATCACATTAATAAACAGGAAAGTGACAGTGTTAATGTTGTAAAATTCATCAATTATGAAACAAGTTCAGCTGAAAAGCAGCTCAACAGAAGGCAATAGTGTCAATATTCGGCTCAATTCTGTCCAATTTTTCAGCTGAATTCAATTTCTCCTTCATTGTGCATCTGTGGGATTTTTTCACCCATTTTATGTCCAACAGGTGAAAATGGTGCTTTTCTCAAGAACACACATGGTTTGAGAAATCATTTATGTCTAATCACATCCTCAAAGTATATGAAAACACCAAGTATGTGCAAGAGAAATAGATGTTTGACTATGCAAACACCACTAATTACTGATAAACAGTTTAACCACTAACAGAAACACCACACAAGCTTCAATCAATATTGACATGCATTGAAAAGCCACGGTTTTCCAGCGAGAGAAACATGTGTGTTTACCTTAGTCGATTAGAGAGGCCCTCTCCAAACACACTTCTGCTTTACTCGGCCTCCCATTGGCTGCTCATGAGCGTTTCACACACACGACGGTATGCCGAGGAGATCATGAAGAGGAAAAGGGAATGTTTGAGGAGAAAACACCAATCTGTTTCAGAAAGGTTTCACCATTTGAGCTGATTCACCACACTTGCACACGTCCAGTGACAGCAGCGTTTGAGGAAGTGAGAGTTCGATGGTCATCTTCTGCAAGTCTTTTCCTCCTTCCTTTTTAACACGCAGACAGTAAAGTCGACAGTGAGACCAAGCTCAGCTCTCTGTGTGCCCACAACAACCAAAGCACGATGTTCACAGCAGTGTTTTACTGTTAACTAAAGCCAAAACATCGGTGTTAACCGAAATAAAATAAAATATTAGATTAAAAACGTTAAAATTAAAAACAAAAATTAGAAATGTTGCAACTAAGTCAAATATCTGAAAGTTGAAGTTGTACAATTGCTAACTGAAATAAAAATAAAACTGAAACAAAAATAAAACTTTTTTTTTTTGTAAATATTGTAAGTCCCCAATTGTAAGTCGCTTTGGATAAAAGCGTCTGCTAAATGAATAAATGTAAAATGTAATTGTAAAAAACAAACACTACTAAAAATGACTAAAGCACATAACAAAATTACTAAAAACTAAACTGAAATTAAAATGAAAACTGAAAATATAAAAATAAAAGTTAATTGAAAATAGCAATTGAAATTACATAGAACGATAGATAGACCGATAGATAGATAGAACAATAGATAGACCGATAGATAGATAGAACGATAGATAGACCGATAGATAGATAGACAGACAGACAGATAGAACGATAGAACGAGACAGACAGATAGAACGATAGAACGATAGATAGATAGACAGACAGATAGAACGATAGAACGATAGATAGAACGATAGATAGAACGACAGAACGATAGATAGAACGATAGAATGATAGATAGATAGAACGATAGATAGAACGATAGATAGAACGA